CCCAGGGGTGCCAGCGTTGCAGTGATCAGAGTGGACAACACTTACAGGAAGGAGGTTTATTTGTTTTCAAGAAATACTCCACACAGCGAGAGCGATCAGTCAAGAACAGCGATTCCCAAACATGCTGTGCCCAGGACCCCTTTACCCTCTTAAAACTTGGATGCCCCAAAGAGCTTTGATTATATGGGGTAAACCTATTGCTATTTACTGTAACAGAAGTTAAACAGGAGAAAAATTTAAATATTTATGCATTTATTTTAAAATAATGATAAAGCAATTATATGTTAACACGAATAACATAACATTTATGAATATAGCTATGGTTTTCTGAAAAATAGTTTAGTAAGAAGAGTGACATTGTTTTTTTGAAAATCTCATCAATGTCTGGCTTAACAGACAGCTGGATTTTCATATCTGCTTCTGATTTCAATCTGTTACGATATCACACATCATGTAGACTCTGCTGAACATTCATGAGAGAAAAATGTCTTTGTAGGCATATTAAATAGTTTTGACTTTGTGGACCCCTTGAAAGAGTGTCAGGAACCCTACGGGGTCCACGGACCAGACTTTGAGAACCACCATTCTGACACGCATTTACAAATAAGATCAGACAACCAACAATCCCCATACATTTGAACCTCTTGCCAAGGAAGAACCAGATAGAACCCTGGAGAAAACAGGCTAATGCAGAAATCAGAAGAGGACATTAAAACAAGTATAATCAATATCCTCTGAGAGGTTCAATGGAATACAAGAACAGTCAGATGGCAAGTGGACACAGAGAAAACACAAAAATCAATACTTTTCCTATTTACCATTAATAACCAGGTAGGAGATGGCATTTGCAATGGCAAAATCATAAATAATCTAAGTGTAGACCTAACCAAAATTTTGGAGGACCTACATGAAGAAAGATTTTCAATTGGATTAAAGGACATAAATTGAGAGATGTATTATCTCCTGCAGGAGGCCTCAGTATTATAAAGATGGGAGTTATACGAGTTGCTCAGTGAACACCCCTTGTATTATACGGGCTGAGCTGGATTTCTGTCACAAGCATCAAGAGTTGTAACTAATATATTCTCTAGGATGAAAGCTGCCCTAAACAAAATGAAGAGACAAGTGATTGACAAGAAAACATTTGCAACATAAATAAGGCTAATGTGCTTAACAGACAGAATTCCAGGAGAGTCATATGAAGAAGACGAAGAACCTTAAGGTACAGGTATGTGTATATAGGTATATGTGTGTATACAGAGAGGGCGAGAGGGAGAGATTTTAAAGAATTGGCTCATGTGATTGTGGGGGCTGGCAAGTTCAAAACCTTCAGGGTAGGCCAGTAGGCTGGAGAGCCCCAGGAAGAGTTGATGCTGCAGTCGAGTCTGAAGGCAGCCCACTGGCAGGATTTCTTCTTGCTCAGAAGATGTCTTTTTTCTCCTAAGGCCTTCAACTGATTGGATGAGTCCCACCCACTTTATAGTGGGTGATCTGCTTTACTCAAAGTCCACCAACTAACTTGTTAATCTCATCTAAAAAATACCTTCGCAGAAACATATAGCATAATGTTTAACCAAACATCTGGGCACCGTGGCCCAGCCAAGTTGACACACAAAATTAACCACTGCAGTTTCCGTCTCAGATTACAGTTGTAAGATGGTAGCAGCTCTGCTCCTCATGGTCACTCAGGGCCCCAGGCTCCTTCCCTCATGTTGCTCACACTCCCTCCCGTAGGGCACTGCTGTGCCACAGCTGGGCTGCTGCCATAGCCAGATCCTAGGACACGTCCACTCTTTGTAGGCCCAGGAACAGAAGTGGCTTTTATCCTAGTCTCCTCATACTCTATTAGTGACAACTACCTCTTGAGGACACACTGAACTGCAAGGCAGGCTGGGAAACGTAGTCTAGCTCAGCAGCTTCTGCCTAGCTACAGACCTGTTATCCTGGGAGAAGGGGAGAATGGATTTTATTTGAAGTGAGCAGTTTCTACCCCTATCTTCCCATTACTAAGGAAATCTAAGTTAAATCCATGAAATACTTTCCCTTTCTTTGTTTTCTTTTTCCTATCAATTGGCAAAAATTTTAAAGTTTACAAATAACTAGCTGTATTCTTAATCTATAGCAACAAATACTTTACATAAAAAGGATTGTACTTTGGAGGGCACTCCTAGAATCTTGAGGATGCTAGAGGAACAGGCTGGGGAAATGAGCAGGGGTCAAGAGGCCTCCACAGACCAATGGTAGTAGAGGCAGGCTTGCTCAGACACTACGGCCACCACAGGACACTGATGCCACATCTGGACAAGGCCACAGCCAGGCAATGCCACTAGCACCATCTCTGTATACCTTCTTCTAGACCTGGCTCTGGATACCCAGGACCTTAGGACACTCTGCCCAAATATCACCACACCCGCTTCCAGGCTTGTGTGGGCCTCTTCTCCTGATCTGGGGGCATCCCTCTTCCCTACCCCTTGGCCTGAGGGGGACCAAGGGTGCTTGTTTGTGTCGGGGTGGGGGGGAGGAGGTTAAGTGTGGAGCTTGGACCTGCAGGCTGAGAGCAAGGTCCCCACTATTTTGGAGCGTTTTGCTAATATCCATCAAAATCTCAAAAGCACAGAGCCAGCATTTGCTCTTCTAGGAATCTTCGATTTGTTGCAGAAAAAGACATATTCTTAGTGGAAAAGCAATTCACGGAACTATATGAATAGAAAAGTGGAAAAGCCTAGTTGGCACCTTGCAGCTCCGGAGCCAGGCTCAAACCCTGACTCCACCACTTAGCAGCTGTGTGATCCCGGGCAGGCTTTCCCACCTCTGTGCCTCAGGCTCTTCACCTGAAAAATGGTGATGGTAGCCATAAATCCCACAAGAGGTTTGTGAGGATTAAATGAGTTAATACTGCAAAATGCTCAGACCACTGGTTGGCATTTGGTGAACACATTGCTGGTTAGCTCTTCTTATCCTGACCTCATTTCTGTACAAATCATATGAATATGCACCCAATCCACATGGCTATGTGCCCGGAACTGTGCACACTCAACTTTTAACAGTGGTCACCTGGAAGTGGGAGTGTGTAGAAAGGAAGGGGGTCAATACGGATGTCCTCTTGCGATGATCCTATTTATGAATTCTTTGAATTTTCTCTAAAAACTATTAACTCATGTAGGTAGGAAGGTAAGTAACAGGTAGCAGGTACACAGACTGCTGAACAACAATGAGCAGGCAGAGCCCAGGCCCTGGGACAGCACTCTTCCAGGTTAGATGCCACCATGAGAGCCTGCAGGCACCCAGAAGTAGAGGAGGGGGGACTGCATGGGTGAGGGGTGCCTCCCAGTGCAGGCCATGACATCTAGCACTCACCACTCTCTTTCCTTCCCGTTGCTTTTGCGGTACCAGGTGGGGAGCCAGAAGTCCCCCAAGTAGACACAGTCATTCCCTGAATACTGGTCTCATCTGAAAATGCACAGCCTTCTGGAAGGTCCAGGGTGCATCAACCTAGCTTAGTGTGGACAGCAGCCGTGGTGCTGTGGAGGAAATGGGGCTCACTGAAAGAGGGCAGGGCATGGGGGTCAGGCACAGGACCCGGAATCAGTAGGTACAGCCTGAGCTCCAGACCCCTTAGGCGTGGGAGGCAGACGGGGGCAGATGCATGCTTCACCCATTTCAACCTTTCCTCCAGGGCTGGCTTGGGCCCAGGAAAGGGACAGGGGTGCGGTCTCCATCTTCCTCCCCTTCACCCCTCCTCCTCCCCTCCTGCTGCCCCTTCTCTTCTCCCTCCCTTTCCTTTCTTTTCCATCTCTCCTCCCCTCCCTCCCCCTTTCCTGATCCCCTTCCTTCCCTTGCCCCACTTTGCTTCTTCTTCCCCCTTTCCCTTTCCCCTTCCCCCCCCCCCCTCCATCCCCTCCCCCTTGCTCCTGCTCCCCCCTCCCTTAGCCCTCCTTCCCCCTCCCCGAGCCGGAAGCCGAGTCCGCCCCCACGTGGCCGCGCTGGGTGCGGTGGGGCCCAACGCTGTGCTTCGGCTCGGGGCCCCGCCCGGCGGCTCACACCTGCTCCGCGGCCGGGGCGTGTGTTCCGGGCCTGGGGCTTGGCGGGCGGGAGGGAACCTGGGGCCGCGCGGGTCACTGTTGGGCTTGGAAAGGGGCCCGGGATGCCGGAGGCGTCCCGCGTGTGGCACGCGGCGACAAGGGGGCCAGGCCGGCTCGAGCCGCCTGAATTCAGGCCGTGCCCCGCTTCCTGCCCCAAGCCCGCCGGGTGGGGACGCCGGAGCCGGCCGGTGTCTCCACGGCGCCCACCACGCCCGCCCTTCTTCAGACCCCGGCTGGGTCTGGGCGGTTCCCTCCTCCGGGATGTTGTCCTCGCCACCCCTCCCTGCCCCCTAGTGTCGGCCACATGCCTCTGCAAACTGGAGTGGGAGCCCTTGAGTTGGCCTTCTGTGAACACTTCTCTGACGCTCTGGCTTACCCTGACCCTGAGCCCCAGACCACCGCTCCCCTGCCCAGGTGCGGAGGGTCCTGGCTCGGCTCCGAGGAAGCCTCCGAGGGACTGACGCTGGACCCCCCTTGCCTCTCTGCTGCTGTGACAGGCCAGCCGAGGGCTGTCCCACCACCCACCTGTGCCCAACTTGCACCCTAGCAGTCCTCGCATGGCTGCCCCTGTGGACTGTGCCCCACGTCCGGCTGCAGATACAGGTCACTGTCCTTGTGCAAGGACAGACTAGGGAGCGTAGAGGTGACAGGGCCTTCTAGGCAGCAGCCCCTCGGTCTCCCTCAAGCAGTCTCCCAGACATGGACAGACAGGCAGTGTCAGGGGGCCCAGGCTGCATCTGTGTACCGCCCCGCCTTGTCCTGTACACCCCATGAACTACACAAGCGGTCCTGGGGCTCTGCTGTCACACTCTAAACTCTCCTGCCTTGGAGTTCCTCCTGGAGCCAGACCTTGTTCCTGGAAAGCCCTACCCCTTGGTCACCTGACCAGTGTTTCACCTTCTCCCAGAAGCTCTCCGAGTCTCTCACCCAGTGATTCTTCATCCCCTGGGTCCTGTTGCAGAGTCTGCATCCTTCGGTGACCATGCCCAGCACTGGCCTGTCTGCTGCTTCTGGGAGGCGGCCTCTGTGAACACCAGGGCTGAGGGGAGCCTCTCCCCTGGGCAACGTGTGGGGCTCAGGACTGCCACAGTCTCCCGCCAACTCCAGGTTTGAGAAGATTTCATCATGGGAAGCCTGCATTAACTGCATGGCCGTTCCTGTGTGTCCTCGTGTGTATTCATTAGCAGCATGTGCCACCGCACAGTGTGGGGCGACCCCCTGCGTTCTTCTGAATCCAGATTTGGTAAGCTCTACCGACTGGCTCTACCCCCTACCCCCAGGCTCGTAGAAGGGCTGAGATTAGCTGGAGAGCCCTCCACACATCCCCTCAAAAGGAAGTGGGACCCTTGGGAGCCTCCCAGAATGGGAGGGAGAGGGCAGGGGGAACAAGTGAGAAGAAGGGAGATTTGGGAGAGGAATGGGTGAAAAGTGACATTTTTCTGCGCTTGGGGAGGAGCCCTGGGCGGGGAGTCGGTGCTGCCTTCCGGGGCATCCAGGCTTCACATGGGCCAGAGTTGCAGAGGAGGGGGCCGTCCTTCCCCCCTTCCCAGCTCTCCCTGTGGGGAAGGGGGGACAGGAGGGTCCCCCCAGACTACATCCCACCTGCCACCCCTTGTTTTCAAAACTTTTACATGTTAAATAAATGGCAATTAAATAGGAAAAATCTATGTGACTTCTGAGTGTGAGCCTCAGGGAGTTGGGCATGGGTGCTGGAGCCCCTTCGGCGGGGGAGAACTGGGGACGCCTCCTGCCCCCCAGGATACTTCCACGTATTACACGCCTGCAGGGCTGGATTGAACGCCCTGCTTGCCGCTAAAGCAAAGGCTGCCAGTTCCTGCCACTCCCTACCCTTGGTGACAATGTGGGCCACGCAGATCTCTGCCAGCTGGCTCGGAGGCTCTAGGACTTCAGACAAATCATCAAACACCAACACAGAGCCCTGAGGGTCACTCAGTAAACACCACTCAAGAGAAGCAAGGTGGGCCCACCCCTCTGGTTATGAGAAAGATTTCAATTTAGTTTAGCTTTGTTTTCATTTGGCTTTTTGGTCACAGGCCCAGTTATCACCTTTTAGAATCTTCCTTCCTCCCCATAAACTCCGGCTGAGTTCTAAGGTTCAGAAGTTCTCAGGGAAACCGACATTGGCTAATAAGACCTGGAAGTCACCTTCCTTTAATGTCTGTTTACAGCTGGGTGCAGCCTGTGGCTCCACAGTCTCATTAAAAGATGCCCAGCATATCCCAGGGCAATAGGCAAATAATTGCAGTGCTTAATTGTCCCATGTGATAATTAATGGAAGCTTCACTCATTTTCTATGTGTGGGAAAGAGGCGATGTATTTGGACTTGAAAACTTTTGGGTGTCGCTGTCCTGACACAGTGTGACACGGCACTGGTTAACCCTGCCATGGGTACAACACACCACTGAAAACAGAACAAGCTTTTGGTGCCAACAGCACAGTGCGGCATGGAGGGAGGTATTCCCAGCCTGTCTGTTATGTAACGTAACACATATGCATGGCAGGACAAATATTTCTTCCCCAAACGCTAGGTAAACAATACGCCCCACAAGTGAAGATCACCTTTGTCCCCAAAGGTCTCACCATTACTAGTGTCTTAGACCTGCCCCAAGGTTTTTCTCAGTAGGAGAAGAAAACATTCCTACCTCTACTGCTTCTTCTATGGAACTTTCCTGCCTCTGACCATGGCGGGGATAGAAGGGGCCTGGACCAGAAGCCAGGATTCTGTTCAGTAATGAATTTGGCTATGACTTGGCTGTGTTACACTGCAGAACTCACTGTCCTTCTCTGGGTCTCAATTGCTTTATATGTTAATAGACAGAAGAGTAATTTCCCTTCCTTCCTCCTTTTCATCTTCCCTCCTACACTTTCCTTCCTTCTTTTCCTTTAATTTTTATTGTGGAAATTTTCTTTACAAACATAACCAAACAGAGAGAGAATAGTAAAATAAGCTCTCACATACCCCTCACCAGCTCAACAATTATCATCATATAACCCAGCTTGTTTCGTCTATACCTCCACCCACCCCACTCCCAGCTTATTTCGAAGCCAATCCCTAACCATCAGTCATTTCATCTGTAAATATTTCAGAATTATATTACTTATCTATTGTTCTTGTCTAGTGGCTTGAAACACTCTAATCTGTTAGATCATGATTCTGTGCGTTGACAGTTTGGGCTGGGACCCGCTGAACAGTTCTTCTGTTGGTCTAGTCTGGCTCTCTCAGGCGGACACAGTTAGCTGGTGACTTGGTTGTGGCTGGACAGTCTTTGGGGGCCTCACTCCATGTCTGACAGTTGGCCAAGGCGCCTCAGTTGTCTGCATGGCCTCTCCAGCAGGCTAGCCTGGATTTGCTCCCATGGTGGCAGCATTCCAAGAGTTCCCAGCAGCAAGAGAGGGCAAGCCCCACTGTGCAAGTACTTTTCAAGTCTCTGCTTGCGTCATGTTTACTAATGTCCCATTAGCCAAAACAAGTCATGTAGCCAAGCCCAGAATCAATGTGGGAGTGGGAGAGAAACATCCAAGGGCAGAGAACAGGAGGAGTAATTCACTGGGGGCCATTACTACGGCAATCTACCACACAAATATATTTATATTATATATTTACATTTACATTCCTAAAAGATAAGCACACCCACTTTTTTAACATAACCACAATTCCATTACCACAGCCTACAAAATTAACCACAAATCTTTAATGTTGACAATATCCACTCAGTATCTAGAGTTTCCCAGTTGTCACATAAATATTTCTGTTTTTGTTGTTGCTATTTGTTTATAGTTGGTTGGTTTGTATCAGGATCTAAATAAGCCCAGACACTGCATTTGGATGTGTCTCTTAAGTCTCTTTAAATCTATAGGTTCTCTGTTCTATAGGTTCTCTCTTCTTTCTCTCTTTTTAATGTTATCATGCTTTATTGAAGAACTTGGGTGGTTTTTCCTGAAGAGTCTCTCATGTTCTGCATTGTTGGTTTGCAACCCTTGGTGCTATTTCACATGTTCCTCTGTCCTCTGCATTTCCTGATAGAACTAGGTAGTTGGATCAAGAGAGCTCCTCGGATTCCAGTGTAAGTTGTCTGGCATGTTTCATAGGTGATGCTGTGCATTTCCACCAGCAGACGCATATGGTTGTATCTCTTAGTGATGTTAAGGTTAACCTTGGGATTCAGACATTTTCAACCTGACCCGTCAGATTTTCGTTCAATGGTTTTAGTCAGTAATGACCATGGCCTTCATCCATTGTTTCATTAGGGATCGCAATGTGGGATTTTCTAATTCTGTCGTTCTATCTTTCATGTATTAGCTCATTAACAATTTGCTTATCCTGAGGTACAGTGCATACACAAAAGGCAAGAAAAGGCTTGATTCTTCCACTTTACTTAACTAGTTTTCAGAAAATATTTTGACTTGCCAGCATTCTCCAAAAGTGATCAGTTAGGTTTGTCTTTTGTTTTGCCTGGGCATTATTATGAATGCATGTCTGTTTGTTTGTTTCATATTGAAATGTTTCAGAACATTGCAGGTTTAATTCTTTTTGATGTTCAAATTGTCCCATCTTGGGCCAATCAGCCTCTTCAAGCAGGTTCCTGAGTCGTTTCTACATACTCCTGGGGGTCTTTCAGAGCTCCCTTGCTTTCCAAGGCTCACGTTGTCCATTTCCTCCCCCAACCCAGGAATTAGGCATTTCTTCCAGGAGCTCAGATCCCTTCCAGTAGGAAATGCAAGTTAGAGACCACAGCCTGGGCATTGGGTATGGGGGTGTTCATTGTTACTCAGTCAGTCATTGTTTCTACATCTTGAAGAATAATAGTTTCAGAAGTAACAGAAAAATAACTTCAGGACAACAATACCAATATTAGTATTAACAATGTGATTACTTCAAGAGAGTTAAAGATTTTTTTTCCCAGTTGTTTTGTCCTTAGGCTATATCTCATTAGGGATGTAGAGCCCAACTACTGTGTTGAAAAGTCCTTGAAACAATTTTTCTCATTATGGTTAAGTTACTAACTTGATACACAGGTTTATTTCTTTCATTTTGCTTTCAACTTTTAAAGATTGCTTTCTTTCTCCTTTTGGCTTAATTTGTTTTATAGTTATTTCAAACATGTACGTGATTCCAAAGTCAAGTCTACAAGAGAAAATACAGTCAGCGAAGTCTGTCTCCTGCTCCTGTCCCTCCGTCCTGTCCTGCGCCTTCCCCTTCTCTGTTGAGAGTCGATCGCAGCAGCCCCCTCAGCCGTCTAGAGCAGTCTTCGTTCTTCTTACAAATGCCCGCCGGTCCATTATGTGCATCACCAGAGTTAGAACAGGGATGTTGACTCTGTGGATTGTTACTCACTTGTGAGGTTTTTTTGAGATATAATTGACACACAGCAGTGTATCAGTTTAAGATGTCCAGCATGATGACTTACATATACTGTGTAATGATCACCACAATAAGTTTGGTTAACATTCATCATCTCATATAGATACAAAAAAAGAAAAAGAAAAAGAATTGTTTTCCTTGTGATGAGAACTCTTAGGATCTGCTCTCTTAGCTTTCATTTATATCATACAGCCGTGTTAACTATAGTCATCAGGTGTACATTACATCCCTCATTCCTGAATTTTGAAATCGTTTCAGTAAGGCATTAAAAACCAAAATGTGACACCAAAAGCATAGGAAACAAAAGAAAAAAATTGATACATTGGACTATATCAAACTTAAAAACTGTGCATCAAAGGACACAATCGACAGAGTGAAAAGGCAACCCATAGAATGGGAGAAAAATCTGCAAATCACATTTCTGTTAAAGGGTAATATTCATAATATATAAAGAACTCCTACAACTCAACAACAAAAAACCAAACAACCCAATTAAAAAGTGGGCAAAAGACTTGAACACACATTTGTCAAAGAAGATATACCAATGGCCAATAAGTGCATGAAAAGATGCTCAAGATCACTAATCCTTAGGGAAATGCAAATCAAAACCACAATGAGGTACCATCGCACACCCATTAGGATAAATACTATCAATAAAACAGAAAATAACAAGTGTCAGTGAGGATGTGGAGTAATCAGAAGCTTTGTGCAGGGTAGGTGGGAATGTAAAATGGTGCAGCCACTGTGGAAAACAGAATAAAAGCATCAGTATTGCTTGTGGGTACCCATCGTTTAGTCTTATATATGTGTATACATACTCTTTCCCAGTGTAAAATATATTTCTTTATCATCAAAGTTTT